GCAGCGGGATTTTTAATTGGTATTTTAAAGTCACGTAAACAGATGTAGACTGGATCGGCTGGTTGCGTAATGGCGTCAGTGACTTCTCGAAAGATATAATTACAAGAGGCACTAAAAGGCGACCGCAGTACCGCGTAATTGTGTTGGCTACATTACAGACATGAATACGGAAATGACTGCTATATACATAAGGCATTTCAAAATTCCAAGTCTCTGACTCGAGCTCTCGACGTTAGAACAAATTGGAAATGAGTTCTGTTATCAAATTTCATGGAGCTGTTACTCGTGAAAATTGACTGTTCATTTTGTATTCTATTATTCATTGGGTATAACAGAAAAGGTACTTTGAAAATGACGCATCAAATATTCTGGCATCAATATTAAAAAATATGTCTTGGCAAGTATGCCGTCATGTTTTAAATTTTGAGGCTTTGAAAAGAGAGACGCCGGGGGTTAGAAGACAGGAAAATCAATGAGGTGTAATGGTTGGGCTTATTGCAGGTAACGGCTTTAGCTGTTGTCACCATTTGAACAAAGACTGCCGCCAAGCTAAAGAAGGCTGTGATGGCAGAGATATAGACCTCGGCTGGCCATTTCTTGTTTTCATTTTTGGTTGGTCTCCTGTGAACTTTGTCGTTCCGCTTAGATTTTCTACTGAATTATACCATGAAAGTCGCAAGTCTCGAGGAGCTCTTTCTACGGATTAATTAATTAACAGAGTACACCACCAAATTCAAAATACTTTTCATTAACATAAATTTTTTTAAATAACATGAATGTGATGCATTATATAGAGCAAGGTAGCAGTTTTAGGATTTTAGCCCATGAAACAAATTAGGTGAAAGAATATGGATACTAATAAGCAAAATACAGAAAGGAATGCTTCTACAATAATTTGTGTTAACAATGGTAATCCTTTTGGAAATAATTATTCACTCGCTCTTTATATATAATGAACAAAACGATTCTGCCATTTTTCATGCGTTTTCATGTTTCATGTGATTTATCGTGTTTATCATGTGTTTGAAACATGATAAATGAAACGTATCTCATTAAAACGTGAATCCCGATTCGGGAATCAAGTTTCAATGAACACGTTTCAATTCACGATGCTTCCAATGAAGCATCGGTAAAATTTGATGCTTCGCATGGTCGAACAGAGCACGGAGAATCTTCAGACTGAACCTTTGCGTCGTAAAATGGACAGTCTAAAATGGACTCTTCATGGTCCGTATCAATATGTAATAATTTGCAGCTGCATGTAGAAAAAAGATTGCTTCGAAAATGACTTCATTCATTCAGCATCATCCCTTTGCCTGAGGGATAACTGATACTTTTAGTTCGTTTGTCGTAATTATCTAAATTCTGTGAATGAATCCTTTTAATTTTGAATTTTCATCTTCCTTTAACAAGATAGAAATTTACCGTTACATAACTATCCACTGTATCATTTATCAACTTGTTCTACGCCTCTAATTCAATTTTTGAAGAATAGCATCATTATAGGTTCGAAAAGCATAGAGCATACAGTTCCTGGCGATAGCGTATAGGTTTATTTCGTTATGACCACTTTTGCTCAATTTTGAACTTGAGCGAATAGATCTCTGGTTTAAAAAATTTCATGTTATAACTTCATATGAAAGCTGTTGGACCCATCGGTTTTTCTTTACACATCGTCCAAAATTACATATGTTTACACTTGTGTGTTTGGCAATCGTCGTCTGTGTCTTATAAAATAAGAATATAAATGCCCTAATTGGAGCAAATGAATTTTTAAATTATTTTTCAACCAGCATTTGTGTTAGAAAGTTTGTTTTTTCAACCAATCGCATAATGAAGCACATGCTGAAGGAGGTAAACTGTCATCCGTATTTCTGAAATTCGTGTTTTTATTTAATTAAAAAATTAATTTCTTTTTATTTAATTATAGGCGGGTCATCTGCCCGATGTATTGCATGGTTTAGCCCGAGCAGTTGCTTGTCATCACGGATTTTTTGACCGTATACGCTCTGGATTCTACCTAGTGATGTATTGTATTTGTATGTAATGAAATGTATATGTAATCAAATGGAGATGTCATATGTTCTCATTTCAATTCGTTTTGTTACTAAAAACTTGTGAATGAATTGAGTCCAGTCTAATCGTATCTGATTCTTAAAACATTTGTTTCATTTTCTATGAATGCTATTAAAAAGATTTTATCAGTTGTTAGTTTTTCGACGATTTTATTAGTCCTATTGTCCGGTGAATGAATATTGATGAAATAACATGAAAATTTGGGAAACAAATTAATGAAATGGCAATGGAATACATTCTCCTCATCTCGATTAATACACAATTCTTCCTAATAAAGTTTCTAGTTTATTGCAAAATTGATTACGCAAAAAATCCTGTGGAATTGAGTTTATCTCTAACGCTTAGGTTTTTCGCGTAATTTTTTTATCTAGTGTAAGCCGCGAAACAACTTAAAACATTTAAATGCTTAATTAAATATGTATACCGGTATATGAGATGCCTCAACTTCCTGTTGAATAAAATGTCATTTTGAGGCAAATTTTTTAGTTAAAATTTGAGTTTCTTACTCCATTTCTGACAGATGAATGAAATTGTGAATTTAAAGAAACTGTCCCAGTATCTCATTGCTTGGTGCATATCTTGTAATTCGAATATAGTAAAATTTATGCATTCTTGATGGTTTAGTCGAATCCAAGTCGAAGAATGTAAGGCGCGATGGCTGGAAGAATGCTGCAGCGACGTGATGGAGCCCACGCTTTGGCCGCTATTTTCCTGTGCGTTGAAATGCGCGCATATTTTGCTTGAACAATTCCTGGCATGTGAGGGCGGCCGCCAACGCTACGTGCCTGCACTATAATTCTTTGTCACGACCTTACTGCAGGTTATGGCTTGATTATCTTACTGCAGGTTATGGCTTGATTATCTTACTGCAGGTTATGGCTTGATTATCTTACTGCAGGTTATGGCTTGATTATCTTACTGC